TTTTCCAGAAAAAAAAATATTCGTGATGGAGTTCAAGCGTGATAGTGAGATTTCTTTATATTTGGCTGGAAAACCACACGTGGCTATCATTAGAGCACTCCAGCAATGTTCTATTCGGCAAATATTAAAAAATGAGCTCGGGGTAAAGCCATTGAAACTCAAAAAAGTGCATGAACTTACACCGCTATAGACAGAAAATAGATTCAAAAGAATTGCTAAAGAATTGCTTCGCATGGCCGAAGGTGGTGAACTGCCGAATTTGGTTTTCTCCGATGAGAAAATATTCGTTGTTAAGCAGTTTGTAAACTAACAAAATCATCGTGTCAGCTGAAATGTGCACCTTCGGTTGGCCACCAGAACTCTAGCGCCGGCCATGATGATGGTGTGGGCCGACATAACAGCCGATGTTCACTATCCGCTCGTATTAATCGACCGTGGCATCAGAATAAATGCCGAATATTATCGGGAAAGTATTCTGGAGGGTGTATTAAAGCCTTGTGCACATAAACATTTTGGCTGAAGACTTTGCACATTCCAACAGGACTTAGCAACATCGCACTCAGCACGCGCCACTCAAGAATGGTTACAAAATGAGGTTCCTCGCTTCATATCCAGCTCACAATGACCCCAAAAATCTTCGGATACTACTATTGTGTCTGGAGTATTTGGAAAGCAAGGTTGGCACTAAAAAATACCAAGGTGTGACGGTTTCATTGGCCGTTTGAAGGCCATAATTCGTGCCAAAGGTGAACAATTCGAACAAATCTAAACTAATTCTAAAATTTGATGCTATTTCCGATTTTTTTGATTTTGTTGTTGTTTTTTATCTCACCCTGTATATGATAAAATGTCTTGATTTAAGGGAATGTCTTCATAAAAATTCTTGATTCAAGGGAATGACTTCAGAAATTGGAACAATAAATTAAGAAATGAAAGCCGACTGGGCTGAACTTTTAATATCCTCCATTATGAAGTAAAGAAAAAAGTATCGAGATTAGGTATTTGAACGAGTTCCATTTAAGTCTGCAAATTCCAGTGGCGCAGTATGCTATACCAAATCGTGAACCAGATTTCAAATTTGAAGAAATTTCATTTGAAAAATGGGGTTAAACTATTGTATGTATATGGAGGCTCTAGGAAACCTGTGTTCGTAAATAGGCCATACGAATTTGACAAAATGCCTGTATGTCGAAAATCTCAATTATTTTAAATCTGACATTGTTATAGGAGATAGATACCCGGACATCGTTGAATTGACTTTGAGAATCGATAATATTTTTATTATTTATTATATGCGTGTAGTATTTAACATTTTCAAGTAGAACCAGCTCCATTCGACTTCCACCGCCACAAGTCCGCACATTCTGCCGTCTCAAACTATTTGGCATTTTATTTGCCATTTTGTCTGTTTGCAAGAACGCTTCCACAAGTATCTGCCTGTTGTATCCAACAGTAAAAATAAAAAACAATATGCACAAGGATTTTTGAGAGTGTGAATGTTTTCTTGAACACCCATAAGTGCAAGACAGCATACGTATGTGTGTATGTATGCAATTATTTGAGTGTGTTTGTTTGCGAGTGCATTTTACACAAAATGTGCACAACTATTTAGGAATGAAGAAAATTTTGTGGAAAAACTAAATAGATTTTTATCTTCTTCGAAATTGCTTTACATAAAAATAATAATAAAATGTAATGAACGAATCAACTGAGGACCAAAGGCGGGAGGTTTGAGCCAGCAAGAGGGAGGGAAGGGAAGAGAGACAGAGATTCATGAAAATCACAACAAAATTCAAATCGCAAACAAAAGCCCCAGACTATTGTGAAAGATTCTCTCTATACGTAAGGAATTGAAGGCAAACAGATAGCAATGCCAAACAGGAAACTTTAAATTAAAGATATTTTTTTCTGAACAACACAGTTCGTTTCCTTAATAATTTCTTCTATTAGAATAAATGAAAATATATGGATATCATTTCAGAACGAAATAGTGGCATAAATAATACGACAATAAAAAATACTAAAAGTTGTAGTACTTAGTACAATCGTTTTTTTCATAAGCTGTGTGTGTTAACGCTTGAAACCGTAGGCATCTATTGGAATTAAATTTTCCGGTTTGTTTTCGTGTTAAACGGCCGAACACTTTTCATTTTGCAATAGCTTTCCAACTGTTGCATATAAACTTACTTACGCATATATCTATGCATTAAGAAATAAAGTATACATAGAACAGTGTTGGCATTTTGTTCGAGATACTCAAGTATTTTATTGCTGCTAAATAGTCTTAAGCCCATACACATTTTATAAAAACAACGTTTGTTTGTTAGTAGAGATAGATTGTAATGTTTACCATGGAGTAAGGCAGCAATGCCTAGGTTTCGAAAAGTGCCACCCATGCTCATCAGTTCCCTTGGTGTTTGTTAAGGGAGAATATTCTCTTTATCATGTTTCTCAACTAACAAACAAACGTAGTTTTTATAAAAATAATAATACAGGGTGAAATAAAAAACTGCAACAACGTCAAACGCCATAAGTTTTAATTTTTGAAAATGAAAGCAAAAAATGTCGGAAATAGCATCAAATTTTAGAATAAGTTTATATTTGTTCGAATTGGTCACCTATGGCATGAATTATGGCCCTCAAATGACCAATGAAACTGTCACACGCTGTCCGAACGTTGCTCTGCGGTATTTTGGTCCATTCCCGGCGAAGCGCTTGCTTGAGGTGATCGACTCTTTGGTATTCTTTAGTGCCAACCTTGCTTTCCAAAACACTCCAGACACAATTGTCTAACGGATTTAGGAGATTTAGGTGGCCAATGTGCGCTGGAAATGAAGCGAAGAACCTCATTTTGTAACCATTCTTGGGTGGCCCGTGCTGAGTGCGATGTTGCTGAGTCCTTTTGGAATGTCCAAGGTCTGCGGCCAAAATGTTTGCGTGTCCAAGGCTTTAATGCACCCTCAAAAATATTTTCGCGATAATATTCGGCATTTATTCTGATTCCACGGTCGATTAATACGAGCGGAGAGGGACCATCGGCCATTATGACAGCCCACACCATCACCATGGCCGGCACGAGACTTCTGGAGGCCAACCGAAGGTGCACATTTGGCAAGTAAACACGATCATTTTGTTTGTTTACAAACAACAAATGTTTTCTCTTCGGAGAAAACCAAATTCGGCAGTTCCCACTGTCTGCCAAGCGAAGCAACTCTTTAGTTCTTTTGAGTCTATGTTCTTCCTCTTGCGGTGTAGTTTCTTACACTTTTTGGAATTTCAATGGCTTTACCCCGAGCTCATTTTGCAATATTTGCCGAATGGAATATTGTTCAGCTCACGAGCCATTTTTCGCGGATTTCGATCAAGTCGCTTCTTTTCTTTTCGAACCATTTCTGCTGATGTTGCTGTTTTTTTCCATCCACTTCCTTGACCTCCGGCTACGCTACCAGTATCACGGTAACGAGTGATGGTACGAGACACAAAAGATTTATTCACATTTAAATGCTGGAGTGCTCTAACGATAGCCACTTGTGTTTTCCAGCCAAATATAAAGAAATCACGCTATCACGCTTGATTTCCATCACGAATAACTTTTTTTTTTCTAGAAAATTCTCACCAAAATGTACGCTTGTAAACAATATAATGAGCTGTCACTGGAGTTATTTTAACACTTGTCGGACCAGTGGCTTAGAATTTACAGCAGTTGGAAATTTGTTTCAGTTTTTTTCAACTAACTCTGTAATGGCATATTAGCACCTTTGAAGTGGTGGCGCAAATAATAGAGAGAATATATGAAGCTATCAATTTCTCAAAAAAATTAGGTTTTGGAGTCAATGTTGTTCAAAAAGAAGGACTTACGAGTTGGAGTTTTATAAAAAATGGCTCCACTCCTCAACACAGATACACACAGATTTTAACCTCCTCAAAATAATCTTATCCGACCCTCATGATGGGAGAAATAAAAAAACGTTGGCCAGTCTAATTTAGCACTTTTCAAATGTTTATCGTAAAATATAGGGTTCACAATCTAAGGTTTTTTTTTTCAAGTAGTACCTATTAGTAGCAGTTAGCTCATTTGAAGATAAGTAGTTTTATGCTTTCACTAAACAATATGGTATGTACGCTTGAATAATGCTGGGAAATATTATGACATTACTTTAAAAATCATGGTTATGTTGCAGACAAATTGCAACGCATACATTGAGAAGCCAATGCACCCAACACGAGTCACTGTTTGGTGCGAATTTAGGGCCAGAAGCATAATTTGACATTTTTCTTCGAAAATGATCAATGTTTTTCGGACACTATATATAGTTTTTTTTTATTTCCCAATGTAAAAATTATTGATTAATTCAATAGATAAAATATTTTTTTTTTCCAAAATCACTTTTAAATATTGGTCTTTTGCAATTTTTTGAAATCACCAGTAGCTGATATAACTTCTAAACAAGTTGATACAATATACTCGAATCTCAGTCCTTGCTACTACTGGGGACTCCTCCATAATGTTAACATTTTTTTCTATGAAACTTATATCATCCGCAAAGTTCATCAAAGTTCAAGTGAAATTGTCTGCCATTTAGCAATACAACTGTGACTGGTATAAATGAACTCGTATTTAAACAATTGGAACCCAAACAGAAATTAACAAACGGCAATAATCCCCCCACCCAGTTGGCTGTCAGCCCTTCACAACTTGGCTGATGTTGTGGCAATGTTCCTCGCTGTCAGTGTCATTTGCAATAATTTTCCCAACTGCAATTAACGTTTTGCTCCCGTCATTTAGTTAATCTCTGTTTATATACATTTTAAACTCTTTTCCATGGCTTTTTAGCCATGTCCCCCTCTCCTCTCGTTGTATTTTTAATATTTACATAATAAATAATAATATTGACATTACACTCGAATACTTTGTGTTCGCTAACGAAACTAACTTTGGACGTTTGTTTTTTTATGAAATAATGTTTCTTTCTTTTTCTCTCCGTTTTTTATCGTTTCAGAGGATTCGGCTTCATAACATTCAGTGATCCAGCGAGTGTAGATAAAGTTTTAGCTCAAGGTACACACGAAATAGATGGTAAAAAGGTAAAGACAACAACTCTTTCAAATATGCATAATATGCACTTTTCGTTTTCCATCACCCAAACCTAACCTAACCTAACCCAACCCTACCTTAGCCCATCACACATTACATCACTTCATGTTATCTATTTTCATTTCGTTTCAATGTTTTTGTAATTTTAAGCAGTAGAGACAAGTGGTTTTTTTTTTTTTTTTTTTTTTTTTTTGTACTGTTGGTCTCCAGTCTCACTTGCTTTTTGTTCCGCTAAATGCTATGAAAATATTTGCTAATGAAAAGGAAACGAGAAATGTTAAAACTCACGTATGTGGCAAATGTCAGAGATAGCCTTCCCAAAAGGATGGCCTTTCTGCTCTGGAGCAAAGGCAGCTCGCTTAACCATCGACATTGCATACATCATCGCATCGTTGTCACAAAGGATTTTTGGCTGAGGTTCCCCCCAAAAAAAATTCAACAAAAATTATGAAACTACCTGGCTGATATTGAATTTTCTCGTCAACTCATGTCCCGTTGCTGATTGACAAGTTTTAATGTTTTAATTTCTATGTCGTTTGCTCAAAGACAAAGGAGTTTTTGTCCGCCTGCCGAGTTTCGTTTTGTTGCTGTTGCTGTTCATTTCTAACCTTTTAGTATTTTGGGGAGTTGGTTGGTTGGTTGGTGGGCTGTCAGGTGGAAAGGCTTCAGAAAATTGTTTGTAAACAATTTTAATTACGACACTTTATGTTGGCAACAAAAGCTTCCAACCAGAAGAAAAACAAACACGAAAGAATTTTGAAAAAAGGAAATACCTCCATGGGTAGCCGAGAAAGGTTTTGGCGAAGAAAACAACACTGGAAGAGGGAAGTCTTATGGGCGGGTAAAGTTGCTCAGATAACAACCACAGCCACAGCCGTAGAATTTTCACTTTCTTTTTCTCCTGCCGTTTTTTTCGAGTTTTAATATTTTTCCTTTTATATTGAATGAGATTGAGATTGTTCATCCAAAAGCACTCATACCCTAAAGGTGGTTTACTAAAGCTTTTATTGCTTTTCTTCGATTCGCATTTTATTATTGCAATCCGAAAAAACGCCTCAAAAGAAATATTTAGTATTAAATTTTTAACATTAATTTTGAAAGTCTTTGAAATGTTTAAGTTTTGGTAGGTAGTACTCTATAGAAAGTTTAAAAGTCATAAATGCTCTACAAGATTGTGTCTCAAAGAAATGGACACAAAATTAGAACTGGCCTCGAATAACAGCCAATTTTGCCTAACAGAGACAACTCCCTTGGTTCTTTCACCTCTTCTTCTTTCATTGTTCACTTACAATTCAGGGAGATATTGCTAAAGTAAAAGTTCTGATTCCTAACAAAAATACCTATTTCAAGCCTTGTTACCAACGAATACAATGGAACAAATGCTGTGAAATAGTACTTATTTATTGACTTTTCGTATCCAAAGTGTAACTACTTATTTCAACAAGTTTTTATTAAAGAAATGTATAGTTGACCCAATTTGTAATACATTTGTTTGTTGAGTTGGCTTCTGAGATATAGATTCAGATTTTGTCTATGGAAGATTAAGATTTCCCGCTAGAGAGTGGGAAAGGTCACCCTCATCCTCAAGATTCTTTTTTCCAAGGAAAGCCGTAGCACAATATTTCCCTACATTCAACGTTAGACGCCATCTATCGAAGTACCGATGGAGGACATTGAGGTTCTCGTTAACACGCCTATTGAAGATGTATAACATCAGGTCAAGGCACACCTGCCAAGACCGGGCGGCTGCTAGAGAGTCGCTCACCAACTTTAATCCTGAAAAATCGATCCCTAAGAAAACTAGCGACCATTCTACAGGATTGTCTGTCAAGTCCATACCATCGTGTCAGACAGAGTCAAAAGCCCTGGCGATATCTAGGGAGACGACTATAGTTCCGTACTTCCTGTCAAAGCCTTTGCCAACAAAGCTACTAAAAGCCATTAAGGCATGGGTCGAAAATACCAGACATAAAAACAAACTTACAATCCCGTAGAATTCTCATATCTTCCACGGGTTTTCTTATCCTTGTCAGAAAAAAGGATTCAAAATAGGCCTGTTGTAACCACGCTGAGAGGGGTCAGAACCCCGCTTCAGTATCGGAACGATTTTGGTATCCTTTAATGGCGTAGGAAAGTACCCTAGATTAAGGCAATGATTCAAAAGGTTTGTCATTAACAGTTAATGAATCTCCAATCTCCTCAAACGCAAAGCTCACTTGGCGCTGAAAAAAATCGTCGACCAATACTCCCCTGCACATGGTCGGCCAACATCCCAGCTCTATGTTCTTGAAACTGACCCTAGCACCAGTGGCGTCCACGAGAGGACTGACAGAGTCTCGAGATGCAAGACCGGCCATTCGCTTGACCTTGCAATAGGTCTTGGAAACCGTAATTCCTTCGAGAAAGTCCTTATACCGATCGTTTTCGAATCGGCGAGTGTTGGCTTCGATGATCTGGTCGAGGCTGCCGTGAGCACTAGTTGTCGGTCTGAGATATAGGCATTAAATTCACTCTTTATTCACATCTCTTTATCGATCTGCAATTTTTTCATGTTTCCTAGTTCTGACCACAATAAAACAAATGGTTTAGTTTTTTGGGCAACTATTGAACCCAATAGCTGGTACACTCACTAGCCGTAATCTCATTATCAAATAAAGAGGTTATTAAACGGATTATTTTAACTAAAACTGTTCCTGGGAAGTGCCCACTAAGATGTCGTTAAAAAATCAATAAATAAGTTCATAAAGGCAAAGGCATAAAGGATTTATAAAGAGAGAGAGAGAGGGGGTGTCAGTAAAACAGAGAAAAAATAAAGATATTTTAATATATTTTTATTTTATTTTTTTATTTTTTTTATTTTTTTTTATTTTTTTATTTAAATTTGTGTTCAATTTTTGAGGTAAAAATTAAAATAAAATAAAATTCCTTTAATTTTCCTTTGGTTTACTACATTTCTCTCTACCTTCATTAACACCTTCTGAAACAAAGAAAAAATACTTTTGTTTGAGTCTTTGCGTATTAAATTTAAACTTATCTTGACGGACGGCTAAATCTCCCAAAATTTGAAACGACTTCCATATTTTATACACACTTTGCCGGTGACAGTATTTCTATCACTCCTTTATGTCAAAATTATAAATTTCAAAGAAATTGGAAGGTGTATCTGAATTTAGTTGAATTTCACAAACAATTTTTCACTTTAATTTCCACAAAACAATCAATATTCATAACAGATGCTTCCCCTATTTCATTTTTACACTTTGCAACATTTCTCGCAATATTAGATACATCGGACCGTTTCGCCTGGTACTTCTCCCTACAACCCTTCAACATTTAAAAATATCATAATCCACAGTATAACCGAGTGAAGTCTATATAGTAGTTAGAATTTTGCACATCGTAATATTTGGATCAAACTGAGGTCAGGTGCCCAAACACCTTATGGAATTTCTCCCAAATTTTTTGTAAATCTACATTTTATCTTGTGGAACTATTATTATTATGAAGGACATGAAAAGGAGATAAGTCCATAGCTATTGCAAGAAACATCGCCTACTTCGAATACCCACCTCTAAAAAAGCGTATTAAAATAATATCACGAATTGGATATATAAAAGAGAATTTAATTTATTTTTTTATATCTCACGAACTAAACGCCCTTTTTCTGGAATTTGCATGATAAGTATTTAAATTCTAAAAATATTTATTAACTTGTACTTGTGGTTTAGTGTCCATTATTATTGACATTTTGCGGCAGTTTGGAATAGTTCTCAATATTTGTTTATTCTCTTAACAAAAACGAACACACAAAGCACCCACAAACAAAAAATCGAATTTTTTACTAACTGATTCTGAACCATTTGCGCGCTACTTTATTATTCAGTGTTGATTGCTATCAGGGGCTTTTTGCCCGCTCTCTCTCCCAATTGATATTCACTCATTTGGAAACATATTTTTTTTGCATTATTTATTCATCAGCGTTTCCTCTGCTTTCCGCATTTTAATTTCATATTCAATTTCAAAACTAAATCTCCGTTGGTCGCGTTGGAATGCGTCGTCCTTTTCAGAGTCAGATTTCAGTTTTTTGCTATCTCTCTGTTCTTCATTTTTTAATTTTCTCCATATCCGTTTATGTTTTTAATATCTTTTCCATTCTCTCGACATCAAATTTTTGTTTCCTCTATTGCTTATCTGTGTGGATTTTGTTGTAGGATTTTTATTTATCTAAATACTTAACCGAAAACAACAGCAACAGCAACACCATCGCCGTTGCCGTTGCCATCATACCGTTGATTAGTTTTTATTTAAATCACTAACAACACATTTGGTACGCTTGTCAGCTTTGGAATACAAGTGCGCGCACACACACACACATCAAATACTTTCACTTACCCAATCAAACTCGCACAAAATCGATTTCCTCTATTTCAGAATTTTGTTCACCATTTTTTAAGCGGAAATCAATTTTCATGGTAATATTTTTTTTGGATTGGGGGGAGCATTTCTAAGCGAAAAATGTTTATTATTGCTATGCAGGCAGTAAATTGATCAATAAATACCAGTGTAGGCACAGTGGCCCAAGAAAAAATTGTAATACAAATTTCATTAGAAATTAGGGAAAACAAAAAATATATTTCAATTTTGCGGACAAACCTTATCCCAAGTTTTTAATCGCAATGTAAACTCTTTTTGGTTACATATTCAGTTGGGTATTTCACAATTTTGTTGTTTATTTTTCGTTTCATATAAAACTTTCTTGTAAAGAATTGGTGATTTGGTGAATAAAAATATACCTACTGAGGATATTCAACATTTACTAATTTCTGAGTGCGTTGCTTAAAAGTATAACTTGTGTGGCTGCACAGATATCGAAACCCACTCAATCTAAACAAAATTCTGATCTCACACTTTTTTTAGAGGTAAGGGTATTACGTCCTTGTGCATTTGTTTGTAACATGGAGAAAAAAGCGAGATAGACCCATAGTTGCTT